GGATCACAGTCCAAGGCTGGCCTGGGCAAAATAAACTAATTCTAAAAGGGCTGGGAGCATGAGTCAAGTGGTAAAGTGCTTGCCTAGGGCCAGGCCCTGAGTTCAAATGCCAGTACCAGCAAAAAAAAAAACCTTGTGCTTCTTTTTGAATCAAAAAAGAGAAGACAATATTGGTACTTTATTTTGAATAAAAAGAGAAACAAAAATATAACAATTATATACTACTCCCTCTAAAACCATGTATGGTAGTGTGTGCCTGTAAATCCCAGCACTTGAGACTGAAGCAAGATAATCATGAGTTCCAGGCCAGCCTGTACTACATAGTGAGACTGTCTCAAAAACAAAGAAACAAAAAGTACTTTACATATAAAATTCACATGGCCTCTTTAAGTTATACTATTTATGCATCTCAAGGCTAAAATGAAGTGGGTGCTGTCATTGACTCCTAGAGGTGTTTGGTCTTGCAGTATATGGTAATAGGAGAATTAATTTGTTTTGTCATTGACTGGCTGTGTGACATAGAATGAGTCATTCCCACGCCTCTGGGCCTGAATTTTCTTGTTGTTAAATAAATTTCTTTTATGTCCTTACTTTTTAATTTTCTATACACTAATGTTTAGGATATACCTGGGAAATAGCAGGCTATTGATATTGCCTTTTAAGCACCCGATCTCTTTTATTGGAATTCTCATTCCTGCCCCTGACCATCTATTCCATGGCTGATGGGGCCATACGATCCAATCAGTTTTTCTCTCCAGGGAGAATTTAGAATCAGAAATTAGAAGCAGAAGGTAGCTTTTTGTGAATCACTAGAACCAAGGAAGTGTAAATCTGGAACCTGTGGAAAAGAGGAGAGAGCTGGAGTGTAGAAATGGGGAAGAATGAAACAGATTAAGAGAGACAATTAGAGAATGTACATTTTAAGAATTATGGCTTTTGAATTACTAGTTTTGATCCCTTCTGGGAGTCCAGCCTCATCCCAATCCTTAGTTTCAATGAGACAAACTTCTGTCCTCATAATATACCATCTTTTTGAGTATAAGCTAAATAGAATTGGTTTCTTTAGTTTCCAACCAAAGAACCTATTTTATAATGCACATCTGTGCCAGTAGACATGCTCTTGTCTCACAGCCTGTTTGGAATGGCCCTATCATTCTAAATCTATGCGAAGAAAACACCTGAATGATTCTAATTTTACCTGATTTAAGCTCAGCCTCCTCCCTGCCCTATAATCATCCCCAGGTGACATCTGGCCTTGCCTTCTAATCTCACCTTACTCCCAAGCAAGCACACTGATGTTCTAGAACTTGGTTACCAGGTATCTCAGTTGAGATGCCATTTTTCTGTACCACTGTAAAAGCTGTGACAGGAAGGTTGGAGTTTCCAGACTCCAAGGTCCCAGGGAAATTGGCCATTCACTTGAGAAGGACAGAGGAAGGTGATCTGGAAAGCTACTGCACCTGTGAGAAGCCATGTGCGCTTTGTCTGGATAATGAATGCTGTTAGCCATAGAAGATGGAACCAGTCTTCAGTTTGGGTTTAAAATGTATGAATCATTAGGGAATGATTTTGTAATTGAGATTCTCTTAAACACATGAATGGCTGCCTTGATCCTTGGATGTCTCAGATTCATTATTTGATAAGCAAAATTTTAAAGTAAATTCAGTTTCACAGGTATTATGTTCTTTATGTCTACTTTTCAGTAAACACATGACAACCTAGAAGAAAGTTAAAATGCTTTCTGTCTTATGTTCAACCAGATGGTATTAAACTATCATGGATCTAAACAACGTATTTGAATTGTTTTTGAGGTTCCTTTCATTTATGCATTCAATGTGTGATTGTGTGGAGAAGTCTTTGGGTGAAATGGAGGTCCCACAAAATTATTCTCAAATAAGAGAAGACAAATCTTTGTAACCTTTTTCTGTATTTCTTGTGGATGTTTGTTCCTGTTTTTCATCATTCATCTACAAATAGAGCCATAATTTACTGTTCAGTACTAAAAGTGACCCTGTGTTCAGATAGAGAGGAATATGACTATCATAGAGGAAGTCACGTGAAGCTCATGACGACCTCCCAAGCTTCCTCCTTGGAGTACACTCGGGTTCATAAAGCTTGGTACAGAGTTTATCATTGAAAACAAGTACTACCTTTTAATTCTAGTAGCAAAAATATGGATATAATCAAATAAAGGAAAAGTTAAATGCATTAAGGTCTGAAGTTACACAGGAATTTAAAAGTTTTTTAAGTTGACCTAGAGAAGTCTCTGTGTTATTGTAAGCTTTAAAAAATCCACAGAGTATCATTATCATGGCATTATCTTGTTTTTATTTTTAAAAGAAAACAAACTTATGTGATATGTATAAATACATGTATATAGAAAAATATGGAAAACACACCTGAAACTGTTAACATTGGATGCCTGTGTGAGGGAGAAGCTGGTGAAGATTTTTTAATATTTTTCTTAAAATATACCTCTAGATTCTTTGGTTCATTTAAAAGAACACATATTACTTTTACATAAATATTCAATATCACATAAATAAAGCAGGGGTACTGAAAGCAAAGCCTAGAAAATGGAAGCTATTTAATCAATCCTCCTATATTTTTATGCATCAGCTGTCAATTTTTTTCAGGGGCTATTGTCTGAATTGCTCCTGTTCCTTGTGGATAGATGATCCCTAAGTCACATGATTGTCATTTAATTGCTGAACTTAATGTTTTTCACTACCTCGTTTCTTCATTTCACTTCCTCATTTTTACTTTCTTATTTCTTTATACAGACTAGACTCTGTATATTGGAAATAAATTTACTGGTACCCTCTCAGAGAAGCTTAAGCTCAAAGACAAGTGCACAGATTCTTGTAGGGCAAAAAACTTAGGATTTCATGTTTTAGTAGGTAAAAAATGATTCCAAGAAATCAACCTTAGAAGAAAATGGAAACCAACAAGCATTTTATCTAACTGCTTATAACAATAAACTTGTTATGTATCACTCTTAGGAACAATTTCAAAGGGAGGATAGCACCATACTCATGTACTAAAGCCTCCTTCTTAATTATAATAGAAATGTTTGTGTGTGTGTGTGTGTGTGTGTGTGTGTGTGTGTGATAAAATCAGAAGGGACATCTTGGTTGCATTCTGCTAATCAACAGCCCAGCTAATTTGGGGGAAATAATGTGATCAGCTTTTTCTATAAGGAGAGAAAGCACATGAAAATGTGGTTAAGGGTCACAAACTTGCCATTTCTTAGGGAAGTTCCTGGGACTTTCAAGTCTTGATGAAAAGTATCTCTGTAGCTTTTTGTCTACTTGCTCTAGTACACCTCTTAATATTTCAGTGGTTAAAAAAAATCTAGATTTAACAGAAGAATTGAATTAGTTTTTGATCAGTTACATTTGTACTTTAAAGCTGGCTTTGAACTTAAAAAACAAAATTCACTATCATGAGATTTTGGGATTCAGAATCTTACCTAGGAGCCTGGGTCAACAGCCAAGGCTCTATACACTCACTTGTGGAATTTCATCCTTTAAAATTAGATCAATTGCAATTCCTTCAAAGAGTGAATCCTATGCTCTGTGCATGCGCGACCCTTACAAAGTAGCCTGGTCCCTTAGAGAGATGTGATTTGACTTGTTCTTTATTACTTGTAGGATCCTAGGCAAGTTGGTGGGTGTTTTAGTGAGTCTGTTTTGCCCAGTTACCAAAAGAAGCTGTTAAGGTGACGCTCCTCTTTCTCAAGCTGTTATACTTAGAATCACATAGGATTTATCCATTTGATGGTGACTTTTAGCCCTTTGGTTCCTGGCTTTCACATCACTGAAGTGGAACAGCTATAAAAAATGGGTCATTTGGACGCTTACTTTTTCTGTCTGCCAGAGAAACATTCCAAGGTGGTGTGGCCCCCTTGACCTGTTAGGGGTGATACAGATGTCTGGGAACACAGCATAAAGAAGAAAGAGGAAAAAAATAACTATTTATGGAGCCCTATAATGCACCATGCATTGTGCTTAAAAACTTTTTGAAATTATCTTGCTCAAACTTCCCCCAAAATACTATACTATACTATAATTTATACTATAATTATCACATTAATAAGTGAGGAAATTAAGACTAAAAATGGAGAGACGCAGTAACTTGGCTAAGGTTTCCCATCTAGTTAGTGACAGAGCCGCACCAGGTTATTTATAAATACAGTTCCTATGCAAACCAGTTAGCTGAGATAGTCGTGGATTACATCTTGAATCTTGGAGTAACTTATGGTGTCTCCCATTTTAAAAGTGGACTAAACAAATTCATGGTCATTCTTAAGATTTTTCAATCTTGGTACTATTGACACTTTGAGGCTGGAAATTATTTGTTGTGGGGAGTTGCCCTGTTCATTGTAAGGTGTTTAGCAGCATTTCTGATCTCTGTGCACTAAATACCAGGAGCACAACCCTACCCCAGGTAACGAAAACCAAAAATGTCTTGAGACACTAACAAATGTCCCCAGAAGGCAAAATTTCTCCATGTTGAGAACGACTGTGTCTATAGTCTATGTTCATAAAATATAATCACAGAAGGGCAATCTCATCTATTTGTTATAGAACAGGCACTATGAACTGAACCTGCTGGCATATACTCTGTACCCAGTAAAAGTTAATTCCTTGGAGCATTATTTGGCTTCCCAATTGTACAGAGGTGCAAGTAATGAACAAGATGTGTAGAAAGGCTCTAGTGATAAAAATTGGTTTGTTGCAATTCTTATTGGAGAAGACTGAAATGGTATAGTGGGAAGTAACTGACAACCTCTTAGCTGCCCATTTTGGCACTATTATAGAGTTTGATTCTTGATTTCAAGGGCATTTTGCCTTGGTGATGAACATAAAAACCAGGGTGATAGCTAGGGAGTGACACAGTAAGTTTCATACCTCAGCAATCTTCTTCAACAGCAATAGCTAGTGATAATCAGTGTTCTATTTTCTCCTACTCTTATACTTAGAAATGACCACCATTGCTTTCATACCACCATTTTCCATTTATTAGCAATAACAGAGGAAATACCAATAGCACCAATTAAAAATGAATCCACATGGATGTGTTTTATCCTTACAGCTGTAATAACTAGTAACTAACATGGATTGGAGAGCACTTCACAAATTTAAAAAGTGCTATACAGATACATAGTAATTATCATCATTAATAAATTAGCCCGATTCTCCTAGTTCAAAAGGCACGTAAGGTCAGTTACATGGGCTTCAGAGGGGCAAAATGATCACAACCTACAATGTAGCAATGGTTCACATGTGTTGGCAACAAGTTTTACCCCGTGCAATCCTGCAAAGCTGAAGTTACACACCCTTGAAAATATGGGAGAATGAAGCTAAAAGTAGACAAGACACTTTTTTTGAGATTTAATGCCTTTTTATAACAGACTCCTTTATCTTTTATATTAATGTTTTAATAGATAATATAACTAATCAAACTTCTAAATTGTGCATAACAAAATTAAAATGTCTTATTTAAGGTGACAGCAAAATTTATTATTTTCAATGAGCTGATATTCCAGTAGCATTAGAACTTCAAAGCATTCTGCAACTTCAAGGAGATCAGATTGGTAAAATTTGTGCTTGCACACCCTCAGGGAATATCTTCAGTATTCATTCCAGAACTGTTACTAGAAAAAACAGCTCTATTCATTCCCTTGCCAGCAGGAGTCTTGGCAAGAGACAGCTCTTGGCTGACCATAAATAAAATTCCTTGAATCACCAGTATCTTGATTTAAGAAAGAAATTTTACTGTGTCTTTCATACACAAAAGCTGATTAACAATGGTTAAAAAAACACTACTCCACTTTTCCACAGGTGTACAAAAGGAAATATAATGGGATTACATTCAACAATAAAGCTTAAAGTTCACTCTAGGTAATAGTTGCATTAACATTCACATACACAAGCACAGAGTAAGTATATTTCAGGAGTCTTATAATAGCATACAGCATACATATGGGAGATTGATTTCAGGTAACATCATAGGTGTTAGCAAGATTAGCATTTCAGTTTTGTTATAGAAAAAGAAAACTAAACCAAAGAGAAGGTGTAGGCTAGCACACCAAGACAAGTCACAGAATTAGAGGATTGAAAAGTCTGCTCACTGTATGTATGAGAAAACAATATTTTTCTTCAATTTCTGGGTCTTGATATAATTGGTTAGAGAATGTCGTGTATTCAAAGTGCACATCATTTTTTTTCTTAGAAAAGAGAGAGAGAGAGAAAGATTCTTTTATTCAGTAATTAATACATGCAAGAGGCAGCCCCAGAGTGACCTGAAAGAGTAAAGCTGTGATTGGCAGGTGGCCGGTATAATACAGATGTTCCAGGCAATTCTCTTAAAGCACTTCTGTAGCAGCAATGACCATTTCAATGGCTGTAGACTGAATTCTCTTTTGAAGGAAGTGTAGGGGAATTGTATTCATCATATCTCTCTTTAAAGATTTATAGCTATAGAGTTTCTCTTTTTTTAAATAAATCTATCAAACAAACAGCATAAAGTGAGGTGTTTGGGGTTTTCTTTTGCTTTTGCATATGTGTTGATGGAAAAGGACTTTGCCTTTTCATATTGTGTGCAAAAGAATTTTTAATAAAGTGAGCACAAGGACAAGTACAGGAAATGCGTCAGATCTGCTTCTGTTGCCCTGGCTGGCCCTCTGCTAAACACTGAACTGTTGGCTTGTAGGTGCAATGTGGGCTTTAGGTATAATTATACCACAGCCAACAGACTTTAGGGACTCCTAAAGCCTTGTCAGTGGGGTAGTTTTGTCTGCTAGATGGTGACCACCACCTCTTGAGTTGTAAGGTTTAGAAAGTCTGGTCCCTTTTAGTTTCATATTTCCCCTCCATACTGGTGACTCCTGCTGTCTATTTGCCTGTGTTTCTCAATCCTTCTTGTGCCAGCTAGTCTAATCTGGTCCATCCCAGACAACATCTGGCTCTCCAACATTTGCTGTGGCCACACATACCCAATGGCCACAAACACCCAAGCTGCTCAATCTGAAAACCTTTCAGCCTGCCCTGCAAGTGTCATCAAGACAGGATCCCCGGAGCACAGGGCAGAGAGTCCAACTCTCACTGGCAGGACTGGGAAGTCTCTCCTTTGCGGCGGAGGAGAAAGGAAACTTGGGTCTGCTTTTTAGGTTCTGAAAACAAGCCAGAGTGGAAAGAAAAGAGTTAACACCAGACTTAGGAAAGCTTTTTAAGACAAAACCTGTTAAATGCACTCTAGACAGACACAGGGAACTTTCTGCAGATTTCTGAGGTCTCTAAGAGGGCTCATATCAATAGGAGAAAGGAGCAGGAAGTTGCTACATGGGAAAGATTTGCCATTATTACAAAAACTGGCTAAGTGGCTTGTTTCCATTTGATAACCTCACTGGTCACTGTTGTCAGTCGTGCTGTTCCCTTTCTCCTTTTTCTCCTGGGTCTTGTTACCCTTCTTCTTTTTCTTCTTTTTCTTGGTCTCCTCTTTTTTGCCGAAGGTTATGAAGTCACTTTTGTCAATTTGGCTGTTAGTAGGCTCCTGCCGGATGGAGATGATTGCAGGAGATCCTGGGATAATGAATTTGTCTGGCAACTCACCGGGACCAGATTGTTTGGGGTTGCCTGGTCCATATTTAAAGGTCCAGCTGTTGCTGTTGACACCAGCACCGACTGGAGGGGACACCTCTCCTGCCTCTGGTTCTGAAAGACAAAACATCACAAATCAGTAAGAATCAACATATGCTCTTGATGTTATGCTACTGGTACAGGACAGGAGAAGCTGCCCAGACAGATGAGTCCCTAAGAAATTATTTCTTCAAACCTGAGGAGAATCAGTGTTTGGAAATAAGCAGGAAGACAGATTTTTCTCAGCAGAGTATCCAGGAACCTACTTTTCTAGTAACACAGTTTTGATTCTTTGTGAAGAATTTCCTAAATAGTATGGCTCTTATTATCTTGACTAGAATAGGATAAAAAATACATGGTTTCAAAGCAGAAAATGCTACTGTCAGTGTATGGATTCAAGAAAATTTTGGCTACACATGTATTTTGACTTCTACTCTGACCATAACAGAGATAAAAATGAAACAATTACTCAATCCTAATTCTATTGTAATAATCTTGAGGGGTGGTGGGATAGAACAGAGAAGAGATAGGAAGAAGTAGGGTATAGAAGGATACTATGTAACAAAGGATAGACTTTTGGTGTAAACTGGGTTTATTTGGATAAATCATCAGGAGCCCATCTTGCTTCCTAAGTGAGATATTCACAAACCATACCCTCTGCCTCAACGTGATCACAGTCTAATTGTGATATACACTCAAGTGATTATAAATCAATTTAATACATACAGTTAACCAAGGCACATGTAAAGTATTGTGGAACTCCAGAGGAGAAAATAATTTTACTTGAGAAAGTTACAAGGGAGTCCAAAGAAGAAGTGACCTTGCACTGAGTCATGGAGAAATGGTTATGAATACCCAGGGGATTTTGATGCAAGACCCCCAAGAGTCTAGTTGGAAGATACACCGTAAAGTACACCAATGAATTAGAAGAGAAGTCAGAGCTGGAGAAGAAGAGCAATGGCCTATCTGGGTAAAAACAATCCCAATGGCCATGACCCCGGAGCCCTCTGACATCAAAGCAGTGCTTATGTATCTGATACTGTTCCTTTGGTGAAGAGATGAAAAGTTCTACCAAAAAAACCATTTATGCTTATTTGCAGCTTAGGAATGTCTACAATTGATATTTCCATTTCTTACTTCTTATCACTTCTCAGTCTCCTCTAATTTGGGTCCTGAGCACTACTCATTTGGACATTGCTCTCATTCACTTCACTATGTTGTTTCCAAAACCAGTGGTCACATTTTAGTACTCATCTGTTTTGGGGGGGTTAGATTCAAACCAGGGCCTTTGTGCTTGCTAGGCAGGTGATCTACTGCTTGAGCCACACTTCCAATCCTTTGTTCTCATTTTATTGAACCTCTCAGAAACATCTGTCATTTCCTTCTACAAACACTTATTCATGAGTTCTTTGTCATGTAGAATAACCCCCATATGTTCTTAGTTGAACTGGACTTTTGTTACAAGAGAAAGCAAGAGAAAGCAAACAGAAACTTAATGATGTGTATATTTCATATACACATAAATGAAACCAAGGGAATGAGCTGTTCTCAAAGAGGGTGACTTTGAATTCCAGCTAACAGCATCTGCAATCAAGAACAGTAAATTTTTAGAGAAGTGACAAGACAAAGGAAAAAGGACTTAGAGTCCTCTGGGTAGCAACTTAGGATAAGATAAATAAATGGCAGATAAAGACTAGTTAGTAAAGGTTTCTATTGTAGATTCTTCTGGTACCAACTCCAGGCTGAGTTCAAAGAAGCCTTCTGTGGTTAATCTTTTTTCTCTTTGGTAGAAGGGGGAAGGGTATCTCTTCTTTATACATCTATGTTCTACTTTTAGGCAAACACAAGGAGGACAGAGAGATTTCCTGTATTTGCTTCTTCTCAACTGCCTTCAGCTCAACTATCCTCTGTATTTTGGGAAGGCATCTTCTGATCCCACACAGTTAAAACATTATCATGACCTTTCTCTCTGGCTATTCTTCATCAGTTTACTTAGCAGGATCCCTTCAGCTACATGTTGGAGCTTTCTTGGGTTTGGCCCATGACTCTTTACTCTTTTCTTGGAATTTCAGTCATGTTCATAGCTATAAATATCATGTGAATATTTTCATGAAGCCAGGCATGATGGCCATGCCTGTAATCCCAGCACTTGGGAGTCTAAAGCAGGAGAACCTCAAGATCAAGGCCAGCGTGGGAGACAAAGAGAGACCCTGTCTCAAAAATCAATAAATAAGCAAACAAACAAACAAATAAATATGCTTATGAGACACAGATTTATATTTAAAGTCCATTATCTTTCTGTGCTCCACTCTTATGTAACCAATTGCCTATCTGGTATCTCCACTTAGAAGTTTCAAGGAAATTGTAAAGTGAAGGAATCAAACTCTTGATTCCTCTCATCCATTCCTTTCTAAACCTTTTTAGTCTTAGTAGATGATGCCCCATATAACCTATTACTCAAGCCAATATTCAGGATTATTCTTCATTTTTCTTTATTCCTCATTCTCCATTTACAATACGTTGCCAAAACCTGTCATTTCTGCCTCCTAAATACATCTTGACTCTGTCCTCTTCTTTCCATTTTCATTTCTTTCCAGAATATCATTATCTCTTATGTAAACTACAGCAATAGCTTCCCCTTTGTTCAACCTGCTTCCACTTCTGCTTCTCTAACCTTCCACACAGCAGCCAGAGTCCTCTTTATTTTTTAAAGTAATGCTTTCTTTTTAAAAATGGAAGCATAGCATACATATAATAACATCCTTTAAAAATAGAAATGAGATTAAATCACTCTCCTGCTTAAAATTATTCCAAGACTTTTTACTGCCATGAAAAAAAAAAAACTTGAAGTCTTTAATGTGGTATATAAGTCCCTTCCATAATCTGATGTTTTTTATTCTCTAAATCTACAAGTCTTCCTCTCACCACTATATTCCAGCCATACCGACCTTTCAGTTCCTCATATACCCCTTGGTTGTTTTGTCTCAAGATCTTTACCTATAGGGTTTCTTTTTGTCTCAAATGATCTCCCCTCTATTCTTAGAAGGGTTCCTCAGTCCTCAAGTCTGTGGTTAAAAGTAATCTCACAGAAACATTCTATGTCCATCCTAGCCAAGCAGTACCCTCTTTACCTAGTAGCATCTATTATTGTAAGGTCTACAGAGACAGGATATGTATTTGTTTATTCACCAATGTATAACCAGTGCCTAGCACAATTCCTGTCACATCCAGGTATATAAATATTTGTTGGATGGGTGAATGAAACTACTGCCATGAGAAGATCCAACAGTTCTCCACTGATGGTGCTTTTGGAGTCCCTAAAGACAATGAGGTAATACATGTAAAGTGCTAAGGCTGATCCTGGCACAATATAAGAGCTCCATAAATGGTATCACATATGGCTAACTATATATGGTACAGCTCTTGGGGCTAGGAGGGCCAGAAGAGGATATTGCAAATTTATAGCAAGCAGTAGGAAGAGGAAGTAAAAAACTTTCTTCCCCATCTTTACCAAGTCCCTCCCCTCTTACCATATTTCTCTTGCAGAGCTGACACTTGCTATTATAGATGGATCAAGGGCCATTTTTTCTCTGAGGCTAATACTAATTTTTTTTAGTTGTCTAAGATAACATCTCTTTAACTGAGTCCAGCCAGAATCTGCCTGCTAACCTTTCAAATTCAGGCCATGTCTCTGAGAGACTGAGAAAAAAACAAGAAATGTTTTTGAAGATATTCAAAAGCCTCTGATTTAGTGCCTAGAACTGAGTTTCAGCACCACCCTATAGTTCTTTAGTTGTTAGAAGAGCCCAGGATGGAAATTTTTCCAACCATAACCAGGAAGTTTCAGGGCTATTAGTCAGAGATGCAGAGTCCAGAGATACATCATTTTGGTGGAGTTAAAGGACATTAGTGGCCATGTCTATTGGCCTAGTTACCTCTTCACAGCAGGCCCGCCAAGTGTTAATCAGCTTCTTTTACATGCCACTGAGCTTTTCAGGCCTTTGCCTGAAGTCTTGGTTCTGTCTGACTCAGCCTAAACTCCAAGAAGCTATCAGAAGTCTAGTCAGGTGCATCTTCCACATGTTCAGCCTCTGTAGAGCAAAACGAAATGTAGTTTCTTCTCCAAATGTAGTTTCCTACAGACACTGTGCATAATCTGTTCAGGTTGTTGTAAAACATCTTAGAGGGCTCAATAGCATCTGCACTGTGACTCATTCAGGTGAAAGGACAGTTTAAGGATTTGACAAACAGCATTTGCTGACTTTCTAATCTGAGTTCCTTCAGCTAAGAACACTGAAGACCCTTGGCCAGCTTTGCCTATAAAGTACCATGCCTTTGGGACAGATTCAAGGACATAGTCCCTTTTGAAGAATATAAGAAGAGAAGATGAACCATTTCTGCTCCAAACTCCAGCTGGAGGCCAGTTCCAGCAAATGGTCAATCAAGGAAGTGTTTCTTCTTTCAGTGCTGCCTCTTTTCCTCCCTCCTAAGATCTTCCATAAGTCCCAGGCACCCCCCAACCCCCAGGGATTTGCCTCACGATCACCCTCAGACAAAAATCAGAATGAGATGCAGTTAGAAACCAAATGACTGACCCTATTAGAGTCTAGAAAGAAGATTTAAGACAGACATCAAGCTGATGAGAGTCTGTGTCTTTAGGCAGAGCCCTTCTTAGACATTCAGATTACAATTCAGTAGGATTTAAAAGTTTTAATAGAGTATGATCATAATCATAAAAAATGATTTTGCTTTTTTTGGGGGTAATGGGGAGTTCTTCACAATGTATAGGAATCATTTAAAGGTCAGAACACACATTTTTAAAAAAGTATATAGATCTTCATGTTTTTATTTTGAAAACTTCCCTCTATAATTAAGATACACTGTAAGTAAATGTCACAATGAGTCCCCTGTACAACTAATATATGCAATAAGGAGACAGAGAGGAGACAGCTACCTCTGGAGGTAGCTGGCCACTTCATGTAATCCTATAATCCACTTCAGGCACTGCCCAGGGGTCTTTTAGGCAAAATTCCCATCTTTTCTTTTTCATGCTAAACTAAACCTGGCTGCCTGAGTTT